GAATAAATGATATCATCATTGGAACTGCAGAATTTTCTCCTACAAGATATCAACAATATATCATCATTGATAGCAACAAATAAATTACCAACAATGGTAGTTTGTTTGTTGCATCATATTTGAAGCTGTAGAATTTTCTTTAACAAGAAAGGCATCGAATTGACCAGCTCAGGACTCTCCTCTTTTCTCTGCTTTTCCATCTCGATTAAACTAAGCCAGTTAACAAGAAAGGCATCGAATTGACCAGCTCAGGACTCTCCTCTTTTCTCTGCTTTTCTATCTTGATTAAACTAAGCCAGTTAAAGGCACTAACGTAGTTTGAACCACTGTCTGTTTCTGTTGCATGAGCATTATTTTTTATGAAGAAATTCAAAATGCAAAAAAACAGTGCATTGTTAATTGTTATAATTTATCACTTTAAGAAAACTTCGACTATGTGTTTTTTTTGTGTTTTTAAATATTGTTGTTTAACTTTTTAAGAAATTACTTTACTGAGATAATAAAAAAAGTCTAGATTAACCCATATATATGTACATATAGTTAAAACATCAAGCTAGTTACAGACCTTTTTTATAAAGCAAACATTTCAGTTTATATAAAACACACATTTCGTCAAAATTTTCAAATCGAATAGCGAAAACCTTATATTATTTTGATAAGGCAGCAAAATTTTGACGTTTTAAAAGTTTTTTTTTTGTTTTTTGTTTTTTTGTTTTACTTCATTTTCATTAAATAAAAAAGCCCGTAGTTTAAACAATTTCAAATGGTATTTCTAAATTAAAATGGTAGTTTAAATGAGTAGCGCTATGGATTTTTTTTAGAAGCGCTCTAGAAGTAAATACTACTTTTTTATTGCAATTTTTTTAAAATTAAAGTATAAACAAGAAATAACAACAATTAACTTTTACAAAAAATATATTTGTTACAAAGTGATGAACGCTATTTTCTTATAAGATTGTTAAACTTTTTACCCACCGCGAGCCACTTCTGTTTTTTATTAATTAAGCTGTTGTTTGGCTTTCTTTAAAATAAACATTTTACTTTAAAAAATTATTTTTTTTATATCTTTTTTTTACAAAACAAAAGGTTTTAAGACGAAACTGAAAGTGAAAGTATTTGAAGTATAATAATTAACTAAAACTTGGATTTTTTTGAAAGTGCCTCAAATTAATTATATTTTCCATATTCCAGGTTTTGAAAGAGTTTGGTCGAAGAGCCAAGTTTCTAAAATAGATGAAGAAGTTTCGATTTACGTAAGGGAAAACGTTGTACACAACGCGTACTGAACACACTTTGAGTATACACAACGTACGTGTATACTCAACGTGTATTTTACTTAACATTATACATAAGTGGGTTTTTGAATTAGAAACTCAAATAACTTTCGGAACGTTATATATTTTCAGAAATTCTGATTGCAATAAAAAAAAAATAATCGTAACTATTGAAAATTTGAACAACGATATCTATTAAATCTTCATTTACAAATTAGGTTTATTTTGTTAAATTTTTAACTTTTAAAAATTTAACAAAATAAACCTAATTTGTAAATGAAGATTTAATAGATATGGTTAAATTAAAATTGGTTAAATCATTTTAACAAATGGTTAAAAATTAGGTTTATTTTGTTAAAAATTTAACAAAATAAACCTAATTTGTAAATGAAGATTTAATAGATATCGTTGTTCAAATTTTCAATAGTTACGATTTTTTTTTTTATTGCAATCAGAATTTCTGAAAATAAATAACTTAAAAAAAAAAAGAATTTTAAACTTATCAAATGACGGGTACCCGTTATTTAAAAATACTACTCGAACAATAACAGGTGGGTGCCCGGGTATCCTTCAACTGCTTTAACTACTTGTAGATAGAATTACTTCAGTTCTTTTTTAAAAATATGTTATGAAGAGTTTTTGTTTTCTTTTTGATGATTTTTTAAGTTTTAATTTAACTATTAATCCATGGATAGTTCAAATATCTTACTTATATTTTAGTTATTTTTTCTTCGATCAGGAAATTATTTTTTTTTAGCATCTTTTTTCCTATAAAGCTGTAAGCAAACACTAATAGAGTTGGAAGCTGCAAGAAGAAAAACGATTAGCAGACGTCTTATAAGATCGAAAACTACATAAATAAGGAAAACAAGAAGAAGGAAGCGATTTCCAAAGAAATGATGTTTGAGGAAAAAAACTCGACGAATAAGAACTTTTGGAGTACATAGGAGCAGTCACAGTTTAAGGATGAGACTTAATTGAATGAGGAGTAACACAATTGAATTACAAATTTTTACGAATGTAAATGCCAGGTCAAGCATGTGACTATTGGAGCCTTAACGAATTAAAGGAAGATAGCCATCAACACTAAGATCTCAAGATGAAACAAGTGAACTTAAATTAGTCTCACAAAGAGCAAGTAGGTTTAGAGAACTTAGCAAAAGATAAGACTCAACAGAAAAGTTTATTTAAAGACCACGAATATTAGTGATTGATAAATTTAGATAACTTGATGATGATGATGGTTTTTTGGGTTTTATAGTTTTTGATACTTTAATATCAAATTAAAAAAAATTAACTATTGTAATGTTTTGGTAAAATATCAATTATATGCATTATATGCGGAGTTTTAAGTTTATTCTGAAGTACATAAAGCTATCAATAACTCAATTTTTAAAAAAGTGAATTTAATTTTAACGTTGCTAAATGTTTCCTTAAAAATTTTATAAATTAATTTTTTTTATAACTTAAACTTCTGAAAAGTATTACTTTAAAAAATTAACTGATTGTTTTTACTAAATCTCAAATGCGGAAACATGCTAGCTAAATCCATCTCGTATCGCGGCCCTTACCTCTACAACAGACTAATAGCTAAAAATACTATAATTACAAAACTACTTAACCATAATTCTCTGAAAACACTTTTAAAAAAACTTGTTCTAAACTTAAACAATTTTACAAACGTATATTAAAACAAATAACTAAAAACCCCTAAAAAATCCACTTTAAAGCAAAGTAAATGTTAGATTTTATTTATATTTCGTACATTTCAATATACTAAGTATAACAAACCATGTAACTATATATTTATGTGTATCAAATACAGCTCTTTTCCGTTTTTTGTTTTTGATTATCTAGTAGCTTTTTATGTGTGACTCTTATGCCACCATGAGACTTTGACAAACTGAAATTTCTTAATAAATTAAGTATACAAAATATCGCAACTAAAAGCGGTTTCTTGATGACAAGACCAAAATGGTCTTCTGCAAGTTTCCCGCGTCTTTTAACAGTGTTACTTTTTTATATATATTATTATTTGTATTAAAAAAAGTTTTCTTATTATATGTACGGTATTTTTTTTATACAATGTAAACGAACTAGTTTATATTTATGATCACGTATTTGTAAAGCTTTGATAAAAGACAAAAAAAAAAAAAAAAAAAAAAAAAAAAAAAAAAAAACTTATAAAGAAATAAAAGCTATTAAAAGATACAAGAGAAAGGGATGTCTAACAAAAAGTTATCCCAAAGAATACAATATTAACCTGGGTTAAAAAAGGCACAAAATCAAAACAGAAGAAACTTCGTACTAGTAATTTTGAAAATAAGAAAAAAAAAACATATTGGCATGGTTCATTGAAAAAATAAGTTAACAAGTACCAATCGATGGCATCATACTGAAAGAAAAAGAACTAAAGTGCCCTTAAGCAATAGAAGAGTTGGAGTTTAAAGCAAAAACTTTCTGGGTAAATACTGCTTTGTGGTGCTTGGTAATAAGATGAATACATTTTCTTGGAGCACCTAAAAAAAAACAAAAAAAATACCTCATTTGTCTTTAAACCTATGGATCATGGCGTTGTACGAAGCCTTAAAGCTGACTATTTTTAAAAAGCTGTGCGTCTGTGTATCAAGGCTGTCAATATTAACGAACCTCTGCTAAAAATTTTTGTCCTCCAAGCAATTAAAGATCTTTTTTTTTTTTTTTGCAATGCTCTATCTCCTTTGACGCAGCATTCCAAGAAAAGTTGTTATCAATTGTTTAAAAAATCTATTATTAAAAACAAACCAACAGATGGCAAACTAGAAAGCTAATGAAGATGATCCGTTCAAAACTTTGACAAAAGAGGTTAACCGTTTGCAAATTTTAGATCCTAGTACCGTCCAAGAAAAACTCTTAGCAAAATCTTACATTGATTTAGATTGCAATGTTTACCATTAATGTTTGTTGCTCAGATTTTAGATCCTAATTTAAAAAAAAAAAAAGATTAAATTAAAAAGATTAAAAAGTTTAAACCTTAACGAAGATATAGAGGTTGAACCCCCGTCATGCCCACCTGATGTTTAATTAGAATATTCGTTTGAAAAACTTCTAAATGCTTAGCTATACAGCGCAAAATACGAAAATACGATTTCTAGCACTGAAACTTAAGAATCTGTAGAACACGGAAAAGATGGTTGATTTGAGGCAATGCCAGGTAACAGATTTTTAAAATAAATTGTATTATAGTCGGGCGTTCTTACTTTATTTGAAATCCTTACGCATTATTTCGAAATACTCGAAGTTTTTTTCCTGTCGACTGATAGTTCGAGTTATCGAGAGTCAACATTATGTTTAAAAATAATAATTATTATTATTAGAGTAAGAGAATAACAAAAAATTTTTAAGATAGGTGTTAAGCATCCTTCTGTAGAAGTGAACTAGCCCCATTTGACGGTAGAAGAAAAAAAAAACAATTTTGGGTTCACACGCACAAAAAAAAAAAAAAAAAAAAAAAAAAATTGAAGTACAGTTGAATTTATCATTTAACAAATAAAACATTTTAGGTAAAGACTAAAATTTTAAAATTTTAAAATTAAAGTTTTAAAATTAAAAATAACATTGTCTTATTTTAACTTAATTTTATCTAAAATATTTAATCAGATATTATTTACCTAATAATATAAACAAAACAAATAAAATCTACTGAAAGTGTTATTGTAATTTTTGATAATAAAAATACTTTTTGAGTACTATAAATATAATCTAAATATAAACGATATAATTAAAAAAGACTTTATAAAATAAAAATGTGAGAACAGTAGTATTCTGTTTATCAGCTGATACAACAAAAATCCAATATAGTGGAGATAAGTTAAGCCGTCAAACTCTTTCAAAGAATGTTTCAAAAAGATTTTAAAGAAACCAGTATTAACATATTAGCTAATAGATATAACCTCCAATGTGTTTATACGTGTCATTCGTTAACTTGTTCAGATGCAACAACATCTTGGTATTGAACTTTCCACGATTTAATTGATTCAACACCATAAACCTAAAAAAAATTAACTAAATATAAAAATATAAGAGAACGTAAAACTTATTAAGACAATTTTTAGATTACACTTCCTTTATCTTTATCATCTCCTTTATCCTTGGCTTGCAATCTCACCAAAGATAAGAGAGAAAGTAGAAAATGAATCTTGAAAATAGAAGATACTCGAAGATATACAAAGATCACTGTGTTGGATAGCAGATATCAAACGTCGAGTAATGAGTTTTAGATTTAGATTTTTAATTATTATTTTTTAATATAGGAATAAAATAATATTTGTATGTCATATTTATGCTAGTAAATGAAACGTGCTTCAATAGGAAAAAAAATCTTTACATATGCTGTGATTATTAAAGAATGTTATAAAACTAATAAGAGATTTTCAACCAAAATTCTTCTTAAAATTTATTGGTGCAGGCATGATTTGAAAAAAAAAAAACTTAAGATGTTTTTTATTTATTTATGAAAACATGTGGAAACCTGGAGCCTAGAAAAACCCTGGGTTCTATTTTTTTGTAATTAAGTATATAAAACAGTATTGTTATAATATAGTTCGACTATAAAGTAAAATGAAAATTATATTTATTTTAATTGAAGGTGCATGTCTTTGACAAAAAATTAATGAACATTCAAATATGGTCCATCATCAGCAGTTTGACGTAGTTTTGTCATGATGTTGGAACAGGAGCATTGTACAGCATTTATATCAATTTGACGAATGCATCTTTTGACTCAAGTAATCAGTTGTTTGCAATTCTTAGCTCTCCAGTTGTTTTTGTATACTAACAAACTCAAACATGCAATGTACAGCATCGCTTTCTGGTCAAACTTGTGTTTATATTTGTATGTTACATTGTAGGTTTTGTAGAACTTTTATCACACATATGATAGAACGAGCTTAATAATTTATCAAACATATGACAAGTATAAGATAATAATTAATATATCACACATATGACAAGTATAAGATTATAATTAATATATCTATCGAAAGTTTAAGGTATCAAATAATTAAAAAAAACAAGTTAAGAAGGTGTTAAAAATAAAATTGAAAAATTGAAACAATATTTCTTATTTTTAGACCGAGGCTGTGTAAAACAATGTTTTTAAAGTAATTGAAAATTACGGAAAAGTTGAAATAAGAAGAAATTATCCACTGATTAATTTTGATATTAGTATGTGGTAATTTACAGTTAGGCAAAGTTTGGCTCAATTTCCTCCAGGTTTAAATGGCTCTATCAACAATTTTCCATGTTATAACAGGGAAAATTGTTGAATTTGCTTTACTCTTGTATTAGAATTATCATCAAAGAGGATACTCATAGGATAAAACAAGGATTACTGAGGATATGAATGAGGGGGGATGTAGGATACATAGTATTTTTTTGTTATTAAGATTGTAACATCTGATGATTGCCTTAGGCATGAAATTATGAGTCATGTTCCTTTAATTACCAGGTGTTATTGCTTAATTTTACATAAAATATTTTGCTCTACTCTGTATTGAGCACTCTATACCGATAGTTATGAATATATTTATTGTTATTATATAAATACATTTATGTATATATATACATATATATAACACACACACGTATATATAGATATACATCCTGGTTCTAAAAAATTCTAAAAAATTACAGATTGCTTTGAGAACAGTGCAGAGCATAGTAAAACTATTTAAGGACACTAGTACAATCAAAAAGAAATCAAGAAGTAGAAGAAAAAAAGTTTTTTTTAAACAAGATCTTGCTAAAAAAGTAAAAGATACCTTAAACAGAAATCTGGAGATTTCTGTTCAAACTTTAACAAATAAATTTAATACTGCTTCCACTATACAAAGAGTGAAGAGAAGTTGTGGCTGTAGATCTTATAAAAAGTTACTTGTTGTCAAGAAAAGCAAGAAAATTTTGGAACTTGTTGTTCAAAGCTGCTCTTTAAAAAAATATGTGCCGAAAAATCTTGTTTGATTATTGATGATGAAACTTATTTCTAATTCTTTTTAATTGCAGCCCTAAAGTTGGCAACACCAGGGATCACTAGTTTGAACACTTGCTATGATGCGCTAAAATACTTATCAGTCAAAGAACATAATTTTCTATATTATTGTTGTATATAAATATAACAATCTAAATTTTCTTTGTTTACATTTGATAGGTATTTTCATTTTTTTTTTGCTTATCCATTTTACAAGTT